ATATATAGAAATGAACTGTCACTCTCATCACCACATCCAGTAAAAAAAAATCAGCTACGTAATTCTGTCTGCCAGTGGTTAAATTAAGTCATTTTACCCAGTCATGGTTTGTTCATTTTCATTCATAGGTTATTTTAACTTGTTCTGAACACTCGTTGATAAACACACACAAAAGGGAATGAAGGCAATGAGATGTATTAGTTCTCTCGTGATTTAACGGAACTGATGTGATGTGTTCAAACTTTGGTTCAAGCATATTTTACAAAGATATGATGAGAATGTTACCATAAATGTTGATGTTATTGACAAATTTTGAAAAAAAAATGTATTGCAATTTATATTATAGATATAGTTGTTATTTATGTGTTTTCTCCATTAGTGTTAAAAATTAATGTTGTTAATAGGGATGGGAATTCTGATCCTAAAACTGAAAATACACGTATTGTGCTATACACGGACATAAAATTAATGTATGGGAATAATTGTTTAATGTACAACATTTACATATTGGAAATGTTACCCCCCACACAGCAGTTAAATTTAACGTAAGAATACCTACAAAAATATTATTTTTCAATTTAAATATTTGAATACTCAAATGTAACTGATTTTGTGTTGCAATTAAACAACGCAACAGCAAAGTGAGAAGTTAAAATGACGTGGATTTATTAACTTCTCGACATTAATGTATCACGAAACTTTAGTTGTTCCAAATATCTTATTTAATACGGGCAAGTTATAAAACCGTGTTCAAGATATTGTGATATGAATGAATATTTAACTGTGACAGTTTGAACGTAAATAAACATACATTTTCACGGTCATAAGATTCATTTGCTCTTATTATTTAGTGGTCATAAATATAACTCAAAAATACATTTAAACGTTGATATGGTTGCTCTTATAACACGAAAGTATTAACAGCATAAATAATTTGTGTTGGAGGAAAATAAATGCTAGATGTCAGGGCAGTTACGTTGAAAAGTTTCAGAAGCTAAGCCATACATATTTCACCACTTTGAATTATGTACGTCAGATGGCCACTAACTACAATGATCATCATAATTCTGTAGAAATAATATTAAAATCAGCGTCAACAAAGCCATACTCTAATTAGTTATGAAGGAAAGAAAAATTAAGCCATGTCTCCGTGATTTTGAGTCAGGAATGAAGTGCACTGTGCCTGTGTTAACTTCATGATTTTGTAGCTACGCTTTTTTTAAATTTACATACCTGGTCACAACTGATTTACCACGAAGAAGTCAGTAAAATATGATTAAAAGATAACATTTCCACCACTAATTCACAACAAACAAAAGAAAGCTTCCATAAATCATTTACAGTAAATGCGTTTACATAACCTACAAATGTTATATGAATTACCACCATGAAATTACACCAAAACTGGTATATGGTATTTGTATCAAAAAAATTACAAAAGTTACATTTCCAAAGATGCCACTGTAATCAGTAAAATATGATTAAAAGATAACATTTCCTCCACTAATTCACAACAAACAAAATAAAACTTCCATAAATCATTTTCAGTAAAAGCGTTTACATAACCTACAAATGTTATATGAATTACCACCATGAAATTACACCAAAACTGGTATATGGTATTCGTAACAAAAAAATTACAAAAAGTTACATTTCCATAGATGCCACTGTACTCAGATTCAGATTCCAGTGTTGAATGGAAATGAGAAGGAATGACCTTGATACTAATTTTTCATGACTTGTTGCTCATTCAGAAGTTGTGCTTGGATGCAAAGACTGATGACCATTTATACATTCCTTTTCTTCTCATGAAATACAATTAAAAGTTTCCCTGCATTCTGGAGATTGCAAAGACAGCCAGCTCTCAACTTGTTAAAACAGCCTTAAGTTACATCTATTTATTCTAATTGAATTACGCATTTGCCCATTCTCTACTGATAGACATGATGATAATTTATACATAATTTTCATGTGTAGAAATTTTTCACTCTGAGCAGATTAAGACACGAAAAACAAAGTGTTTGTAATTGTTTTCTTTTCAATACAAAATCTTATTACAATAAAACAAAAAATTCCCATCCCTAGTAGCTATGCTTTCGGTATTGCTTCCACACGTCACAAAATGTAGAAAGTGACGTGAATTATTTTGTGCCCGTCATGCAAACAGGACAAGGAATTGCATTTGGATGTCATGTAATGCAGTGCTTCAAACAATATACCCAAATGTACCTGTAAAATATTATAATATAATTTAATGTTATGTAGCTGCTGAGCATCTCACCTTCAAAATATGATTTATCGACATCAATTCAACCAACCTTACATACGAGTCAGAAACTTTCTGTGCGTCTAAAGTGTTATGAGCAAAAGCGTTCTCAGGTGACGAGCTACGCGAGCACGGAATTATTTTCCAGCGTTTCGCAGATCTCTCTGGTTTAATTATCATACAGAATACTGGAAACTAATTACATGCTCACTGTTAATTATCACCATAGAAAACTTCACCGCATTCAGTCACTGTGAAAGATTCAGATCTTACGAGGAGAGGGGGAGGTGTACGTTGCACTGATGTCTGAAATTAAAAGCTGTAGCTACACCTTTAAGTGTAGGCCATCTGCTGAAACATGTCAATCTAGCTGAAGAAAACACCATCAGAATATTGTACAAAATAATATACCAAAGTTAATGTTGTGTATTCCTACGTGATCAGTCTTATTTCATATCAAGTGATATCCCACATTGTTTAAGGTGACAAATATTAATAAATATAGTAAGATCATATTTCACTGTACAAATCACAAATTTCCTTCCTATCCTATCTGTGCTTCGCTCCTAATCGTCACGTTTGACGAGAAAATATATACGGACAGACACAATCTTTCTATTGTATTCACTTCTTGCGCTATGTGTAAAGAACGCATAAAAGATGAAGGCAACACCCACCACACAATTAATGACTCGCATTTCATTTTAAATGTAATGCCTCGATATAGTGCCAAGAAGGCATATTAAGAGCCAGAAATTGTCTTTATAATTTTTATATTTGACCCATTTCCAGCCCTCGCTCCAACTCGTACATTTCACGCAGTTCAAAATCACACAACATATAAGTTACAATACCAGGTCAGCAAAGGGCCGAACAGAAGTTACCCCAAAAATTGTTAAATCACAGTGAAGCACGTTATTTATACAAGAGCGCACGTAACCAGAATAAGTACAGCGTCTTTCACCGCGAGCTTCATCACACATTCCTTCACAGCCTGCCTACCATGAGATATCTGTTGCATGCGTTTCCATACTTGTTACTCATAATTCCAGTTCCTATTCCGATCCACGTTTATAAACCTTTTCAGATTCCATACCAAAAATCCGGTCCCGCTGAAATAAACGAGTTTGATATTGCATCTATTATACGAGAAATTACGTCATCACCTATTATTACCACTCCTACATTTTCCTTGCCTAGTAATTAGAACTATGAAGATGAAACTCTGCTGTCGTCCACCATTCGGCCAATGAAAACGAGGAACGATCCAATGTTATGCGGACGGGACCTCAATACTAGCACGTCGTCCAACGCCAACACCTTCGATGAACCACAATTCCCACCTCCATATTCTCGAGGATACACTTATTATGATGATTTTTGTAAAAATGAGCTCGAATTACAACTTGGAAACGCGTACCACGAGACTGGTTTGGATGGAGTTCCGTGTAATCCTGGTGTTGAAGATGGGAATGAGCTCCAGGAAGCTTGTGATGGAGGCAGATCCACAGCCTTGGCTTGAAGAAATATCTTCAGGGACATCAAAGATCTTCTTAATTATGTACGTAACCCAGAAAATACAATTATAAACAATACAGACAGTCCTTTGGAGAGATGTGAGAACACAAGAGTTGATTATCTTAACAAATGATAGGAAAGGATGAAGAGACAAAACCATTTCAGAGGATAATTTTACTTCAAGAGAGCAAACAAGACATTTCTGAAAACGAGATTTAAGGGCGATTTGGAGAGACGACAACTGGAGTGGCAGTGAGGGAGTCAGCTGTTATTTCAAATGGAGATAGGATTTGTGTCGCAAATCCTGCTACTGATGACAGGAAACTGTTAACTGCACTTTAAGAACAAATTAATATTAAAATATAACTGATTCATCCCTGCAAAGGAAAATATATCATTTCATCGTAAGGAAAATGCTTGTTATCCATCCAATTTATTGTAAAAGACAAAATGGAACAGCTACATTTCCAACTTTATTGTTACTGATTTTGCGTTCTTTGTTACATTTCATTAAAAGTATCTGCGTACAGTTATGTATTATATATTTAAGTAAAAAAAAAAAATATATTCATAAACTTTCCTTCTGTTATTCTGCCAAAGGAATATTTGAACTTGGTATTACAATATATTAATTTATTTACTTGTTTAAGCGAATATATTTAGTTTCGACATTGGTGGTACTTACACAACTTAACATTCTTCTATTTCAGCATCTGAATGTATGTTCATGTAGGAGCTCCAAAACAACCTAAAAGGCTAAAAATTTTAATCACTTTTTGCTTACGTACGACATGCTTAATTTTACCCACAGTTTAACAACACATCCCTTCACATTTGTATTATTACCAGTCACATTTGATTCTATGTAGTATTTGAGGTTTTGATGATACAAGCAATTTTTACAGTCTATTTAATCATACACATTTGAAAACATAGTTCAGTGTTATGCCAACTTCTCGAAGACTACTCGGAGTCAGCTCGCATGTAAAAGTTGTAATAATTTTTAAAGTGAAACAGTGTGTATAATTACAAACAATTAGTTCTATTTAATGACTAATAAAATAACACTGACTTGCCACTTTGAAACACAGGATCTAAAATCACAACACTAATAAATATTTCACTTGCACTTATAGTATCATTACGGTACTAGACACTAATTATTCCACGCGGACTAAACACTCATCGCATTGAATACGCAAGTTACTCATTTATTTCAATAAGCAAAATCAACTTCACATGCACTGTCAATGCGTAATTTCTGCATAACAGTCATTTCATTTCAAAAACACATCCAATGTTATATAGAGACGTGTTTAACGTGTTTTATTCCTGGCACTTAACAGAAAGACACTTCTTATACATAACACACAAAGCATGTTAAATTTGTAACTAAGTATCATTAAGATTTGTCTTCTGGGTTGTTGCGCTGTGTAGTCTGGTCGACGTTAACCAACGTTTCAGAGGTCACACTGCCTCCGTCATATTCCGGCATATTCATCGCCCTGATGACGTTCGTCAACATTGACCAGGCTACACAGCGCAACAACCCAGAAGACAGAAATCTTCATACTCTGATGACGGAGGCAGTATGACCTCTGAAACGTTGGTAAACATCTACCAGACTACACAGCGCAACAACCCAAAAGACAGAAATCTTCATACTCTGATGACGGAGGCAGTATGACCTCTGAAACGTTGGTAAACATCTACCAGACTACACAGCGCAGCAACCCAGAAGACAGAAATCTTCATACTCTGATGACGGAGGCAGTATGACCTCTGAAACGTTGGTTAACGTCGACCAGACTACACAACGCAACAACCCAGAAGACAGAAATCGTCATACTCTCCGCTGCGAAAACCTCAAATCTTTCATAAGTACCATTACATCATGTACTAAAAGCGAGTTTTGTATTTGTGCTATGACATGTTCTACATCCTCGGCTTAGACCTAAGAAGGATTTATGGAATGTAAATAAATTATATTCTACTCAGTAACACATAAATGGAACAGGTACTCTTCAACCCTTCAGGCCCTGGCGGTACCTACAAGTATAATCTGCTTTAATAATCAATAATTCGGAGTTGTGCAGTGTAAACAGCGATTATTTACTTCGACAGCATTAACCCTTTTAATGGCCGAGCTGCCTTCTTTGAGTTACCAATGAATGTTGAAATATTATTTAGGTGATTTTCAGCTATGAAAGGTTAACTTCTTATTGATGCTGATGTCGCTACAACACACTTGCACGAGAAAAGTGCAAATAAAAAATAAAAAAAAAAGGTGAGCATAAGAAATGTATACTGATACCGGGAATGACCCGTTCTTCAAGTGCCTGAGTACTGAGGATCTCAACTTTTCGTTGGCTTGATCAATGGACATTTTGGTAGGACTCCTTGGACGAGGGATCGGCCCTTCGCAAGGCCTCTACCTGTACACAGGACAACGCGGACAAACATCCATGGCTTGAGTGGGATTTGAACCCACATTCCCAGCAGCACAAGGCCCACGTCTCAGATCACACGGCCACAGCGGACCCCATAAGAAATGTATAGGAGAAAGAACGGTCTTTACCATTCTTTTTAATATAAAGATGATTGACCCTAACGTGAACGAAAGAAGAGATGAAGTGTACCAAAATCACTAACAAACTACAATTTGCATAAACACAATGTAAAATAAAGAACGCCTAATCTTGCGATCCTGCGCATAATCACAGGAACAAATAAAAATATTGAGATTTGTACCCTCCCCCTTCTCACCATTTAAGCTTAATAATTTGAGGTCACAGAAACAGGGAAAACCCCTTCATATGAAAAATATAAACCTAATTTTAATTTTGAAGTTTAATTTTTCAAAATATATTGGTAATACGCAAACTGATATAAAAATGAAAACAAGTAATAGTGAATGAGAATGGTAGAGAATCTGCAGCTTTTAAAACAAGCAAAATAGAGTTTAGAACTTTCTTATTCATGTCTGTAGGACAAAGAAATCCATTTTTTTTTTCAATTTGGCTTTATAATAGTTTTCAAAACTATCTGCTGAAATTGCAGGATCGCGCGCTTCGTGTGTTGTACCCTATATGCCCCTTCATAATTCTATGACGGACGTCACGATGTGCGTTACAACTGGCGTACTTTGTACGGTCGTGTGGCCCCAGCCTAATACGGTATATCTGTGGCCACTTCTTATCCTGGGAAATGCCCCTGGTATCAACTAAATAGGCGCAGTAGCCCCAGAGCAGGTCTGGACTTGACGGCAAGCAGAACAAATTCTGTCGCTGCCAGGAATCAATTCCTTCATGGTATAGACATTGCCCTCGCTCCAACAATTCAGTTAATTTATTAAACAAACGGCCTGTAACAGGCAAGCAGAACTCAACACGCAGGCCTACAAACAGCAGCAAACTAAACCAAAATAAAATAAAATAAATATTATATTCTAATCACATTACATAAGAAAGAAAGTCTTCACGGGAAACAGTTTTTTTGCTAAAAAGTTCAACATCGTAAACGACGACGATAATTATTTCCAACAACACAAAGTACCGTTCGCCAAATGAGAGATGGCGAGGCAGGTTTACTCACACGCCATATAAATATTACTTAAGTCCTTAAGCAGCTTTTCTTTGGTATGTTTAAGACAGTCTAATATATTTGACTGATCTTTTTATTTTATAATAATTAAATATGTTCAAAATGTTATTTGAGAAACATACTTTTGTATGTAGATCGTTACCCTGGATACCAACGTTAAGAAATATT